CAAATTTTTGATAAAAATCTGACTTCCAAAGAAAGATTACTTATAGTTCTTTTGCTTTGCTTCTAAAATATGGAAGAGGTAAGCAGAAAGAAAACTTGGCTTCTCAATACATTAAAAGGACTCTTTCTACAGAAAAAGGACTTAAGCTATACTTGCCTTTTTTCCCTTTGATGTGGAAAATGGCTTAGAATATAGAAATCTGAGCTTGATAATAATTTCTACTTTTTTCTCTGTATAGTTTTCATTTTCTTTTATCTGAAACAGTGACAAGTAGTTAGATTATCTGAAACAGTGACAAGTAGTTGGAAATTAGGCTAGGAAAGCCTTTTGACCAAAGAGGAAACAAAATCTAAGTTCTCTGCTGCCCTCTACAGGGCATATCGTGAAATACAGTGATCTGCCTGTCCTCAATTTGTTACTGTAGTAATTTACTAGCCTACAACTACAATACAGGCAGGTAAGTACATAATCTGTAGTAAAAACTGTACCTTATAATCTTTAACCCTTATACAGCCTTCAGATTTTGTACAGGAAACTTACTTTATTCATGGATCTACTGCTTGCAGTCTTGAACAAGTGTGGTTAAAAAAAAGTTAAAAGCAATCAAAAGGTATTTCAACAACAAACTTTTAAATTCTAGTGCATATATCACATGTTCATGTGATATACAGAAGCACTTGGTCCCATGTCACCATCAGTTCTGTTTGTCATGCATTGATGTGCCCTTAAGTTTGTGAAAACACCAAGAGCTGGTGTTCTCAAAGCAAGGCAAAATATTCCTAAACCAGAAAAGGACATATAAGGTGCTTAATTTAAGTGATAAAGTAGGTAATCTGTTGAGAGGTGGCATGCCTTTGGTGGAAAATGGGTGGTGTTATAGGAAAAATAGAGCCAGCATCTTAAGTATTTGATACGAACAGCATAAAACAGGATCTAGTTTTTGGTGAGCAGTATTAATGTGTACAACAGTAATTCTTAAGACAGTAATGTAGCCTACTCTATGTGGTTTCAATTTATGGATGCTAACTGTATAGTACAGTAGTGTTAAGTTTAGAGCATGAACTCTATGTATCCTGATGTATCCTTGGAACTCTGACACAAGCAGTTTACTGTAGTATTAAATTAGACACAGAGTAAAAATCATATATGGCCAGGTAATCATGCCTGTAATCCTAGCTATGAGGAGACAGATCTGAGGATATTAGTTCAAAGCCAGCTTAGGCTGGAAAGGCTGTGAGACTCTTCTCTCCAATTACCCAAAAATCGAGAAGTAGAGCTGTGGCTCAAGTGGTAGAGCAACAGCCTTGAGCAAAAAAGCTCAGTTTAAGTCCCAGAACTGGTATCCCAAAAAATCATACATGTATGAAAAGATCCCACAGTTCACAATATTTGAGTTTTCCTAAGAAAACCATTCCATTTTAAAACTCTAAAGTTAAAATGACAAATATCTACTGTATATGTCACTAAAAATACGTGAGTTAAAATAGAATTTAAGATCTTACTAAAAAAGGAAGCACTGACTGAAAAACAAAACTTTTTAGAAACCAGAGTTCCAAAATATTTAGTACTAAGTTAAAAAAATCACACATTAAAAAGGCCGGTACATTTGGACTCAATAATTACGAGTGGAATGAGTGACAAATTTAATTTTGGACTTGAGTTTAAAAAAATTACATGGGTTAAAAACGCAAGTGGCTGCAGGTTTTGTTAAGAATTTCATTTGGAAAAGATGGACTCAGAAAAAAATGATATTAACCATCAGGTGGGCTAAGACATTTGGTATTTTCAAAGCTATAGTTCCTTTTGTGGGGACAATACCAATAGCAAATGAAATGTAGCACCTGTGCCACTGGTGGTGACTTTTTAATCTCAAGTACACAGTATAACAAGTAATTTGCCATATACTGTAAGTTCACTCATTCTTGGCGACAGAATGATGAGTGAATTCCTCTGTGTTCCTGAAATTGAGTTCTGGGCTCTAAAGCATAGACAGAACACTACTGGGTCCTGAGCCCAGCATCCTTTTTTTCTCAGCCCATTCTGACTTCACTCAAGGTGCCAGCCAGCTTGCTAATGGTGTGGCCTTGCAGCACCTTCCTCAGCTGTACCATGTGTCACCTGTCTGCCATCAGTGGTTACTGAATGCTGGTGGATGGAATCTACACACATGTGGCCCTGGACTGGAACAAATGACCTAAAGCCACAGTTACTTAATGATGCACAGATCTAATCCAGGTTGGCAATCTTGCAGGTTATATGTTTTTAAGAACTGGTCCACTTTAACTAGGTTGGTGAGTAATTGTTCACAGCATTATAATAATTCTTTTACTTTTCATAAAGGTAGTAGTAATAATCCTACTTTCATTTCTTGTTTTAGAAATAAGTCTTTTTTGTAGCCAGTCTACCTAAAGGTTTATTAATCTTGATAATCTTTCAAGAAAGTGTGCTTTGTCTCACTGATTTTCCCTATTTTTCTCCAGTTCCATGTTGTATCACCTGTATTCATTTTCTTTTTTTTTTTTGGTCCAGTCGTGGGGCCTGAACTCTGGGCCTGGGCACTGTCCCTCAGCTCTTCAGCTCAAGGCTAGCACTCTACCACCTGAGCCACAGCGCCACTCCGGCTTTTTTCTTTTTGCTTATGTGGTGCTGAGTAATCGAACCCAGGGCCTCAGGCATGCAAGGCAAGCGCTCTACCACTGAGCCATCTTCCCAGCCCCACCTGTATTCATTTTCTAGTCATCATTTTTCCTTCCCTCTGCTAGCTTTCAGTTTAGACTGCTTTTTCTTTCCTAATACCTTAAAGTATAAAGTTAGTTTTTGTCTCTCTGGCCTTGAACTCATGATTTTTCTGCCTCAGCCTCCTGACTGCTGGAATTAGAGGCTTGTGCCATTATGCCCAACTTCATCTTAAAGTATTTTCTAATTTGCTGTGATTGGTCCTTTGACCACTGGTTGCTTAACAGTGTACATCTAATTGACATATACTTGTGAGTTTTTTTTCCTGTTGTTTTCTAGTTTCATTTCTCTGCCATCAGAAAAACAACATGTATGAATTTCAATCTTTTAAAATTTATAAAGACATGGTGGGCCCTGGTGGCTCACTCCTGTAATCCTAGCTACTCAGGAGGCTGAGATTTGAGGATCACAGTTCAAAGCCAGTCCGAGCAAGAAACTCCATGAGACTCTTATCTCCAATAAGCCATCAGAAAATTGGAAGTTGCACTGTGGCTCAAGTGGTAGAACACTAGCCTTGAGCTGCAGAGCTGAGGGATAGCGCCCAGGCCCTGAGTTCAAGCCCCATGACCACCACCACCAGCAACAAATTTATGAAGACTTGTTTTCTAGTCAAATATATGGCCTATTCTGAGAGAAGGTATATTCTACTATTTCTGGGTGAAGAATTCTGTGGAATTCTTACTTAAGCCTTCTATTTCCTTACTGATTTGCTGTCTGGTTGCTTATCCCAAAGTTGGAGAAAAAAATTAAACTAATAAAGCATAGGATTGTTAAGAGTATAGAGGGTATGCTTTCAATGGAAAGGAAACTATACATTTGTTAAAACTTGTAGGAAAGCAAATGGGTACTTTTAGCAAAACTGAAACTTTCAACTCAATCATTATACTTCTAACTATCTACATTGGAGATTAAAAAACCAACAAAGGTCCTTTTTATGAACAAGGAGAAAGTATACTGAGGCATTATTTTTATTTTACTTTTTGCTGGTAGTTGGATCTGAACTCATGGCCTATACGCACAGGCTGCTTATTTGGCTGATGCTCTATCAGTTGAACATTATTTATTTCATTGTTTATGTTTTTTAAGTATAATTTTATTATTATTAAGGGTTGTACAGAGGAGTTACCCTTTCATGTCAGGAAATGAATACATTTCTTTTTTGGACAACGTTACCTCTTCCTTGCATTCCCAATTTTCCCCTTCCATTCCTGCTCACAAGTTACATAGTTTATTTTCCACAGTGTATACTGAATAGCATGACTGAGCATTATTTTTAATTTGAAAATATACTAAATGGCCATTCTCAAATGAATAAATAGATTATGGTATTTTAATACTGCAGAATGCTGTGTAGCAATCAAGAATAATTAGGTTGCCTTACATGTCCCGATAAGATAGCACATGTAGAGTATGATCTGTTATACGCAGTTATTATATATATTATGTGAAAGTGTATATATATATATACACAATACACACACACACACACACACACACACACACACACACACACACACACAGGCCTGGATTTGCAGGCAACTGGTTGCTTCAGAGGAAAGAGGCAATAAAAGAGGTCTTTTAAAAAGCTGTTGCATGGAAGTAGCACTGTGGCTTAAGCGGCAGAGCGCTCGCCTTGAGAGCAGGGACAGCGCCCAAGCCTGGAGTTCAAGCCCCAAGACCGACAAAAAAAAAAAAAAAGCTGTTGCAATATTTTGTAAGGACAATGTATTCATGTATGAAAAATACAAGTATTTAAATAAACAGCAGTCTATGAATAATTCATCTTAAATACTCCAGATATTTCAATGGTTTCTCTGAGCATTATCAGAATAATGTCTTCTATTTGACTTGTATAGTGTTGACAAAGTCTACTATTTTGTTTGTATTTAGCTTGCCTTTGCTTTCATGTACTTAAGTGTACCAATGTGCTAACAGCATAGAGCACAGCCTCTTTGAGGAACAGTGTGGCACTGTCTCTCTTTCCAGTCCCTCTGCTGTCTCCGGTCCTAGTCTATATTATGGCCTTTGCTCTTTAAGTATCTGTGTTTGTGATCACTAGTTACAGGTTAACATAGTTTTAAGGGTATTTCCCCCTTATTCTTTACTAAAAAGTGGAAGAGCAAAAAGAAGGCACTTACGAGCTAAAATTATTTGGTTTTGCACTTTAAAAAAATTCAACAAAGCCTTCTCCTCTCCCAAACCCAGCATTCCTCATTCTTACTGCGCAGAAATAAAATTCTTCTAAAGTATACAGCAGGACTTACCTTCAGATCAAGGCTGCTAAGGCTTATAACATCATCATCTTTCTCTTTTCGTTTTCTTTTCTACAAAAAAGAACAAAATATATTCAATCCTTTCATATAAATGCATCTGACTCCATCAAAGACTCCATATAACCATAAAGACCAGTTCTAAAAAGTTAAGTTACTTTGACTATCTGCATAAGGAAATTATTTTGATGTGAGATGTTTATAAATTGTCCCTGGAGCCTAATGAGCACCCTAAGTAACCTTTTAATGTGAAGTAATTCCACCCTAGTAAAATTCCACCCTAGAGAAATTTTCAGAATAGAATTCCTATGTAAGTTAAGTCAAGGGCCATCTGGACTTGTTAGAGACAAAGTTAAAGTACATCGGTATGGAAATGTAAAATACTCATTTTAAAAAGAATCATATAGTATTTATCTTGGGAGGGGGAGGAGAGGTGGTTTACTGGAAAACAATCCTTTTCTCTTAGTCCCAAATAATTAAGATTTGCAGGATTTATCAACTGGAAGACAAATAACTGTGGCTGTAAAGTAGATCTTAGTACTCAGCTCGGTGCCATAAATAACAAAACTGTGTACCTTTCATTTCTGGTTCTTCTTTTTTTTAAAACTGTATTTATTCTATGGAAATTTAACATTGCATTTCTGGTTCTTAATACTCAATAAACTCCCTTATGTATCAATTATCCCACACCTCAAAATAACTTTTCACATCAGCAACAGTGAGAATGACCTTAATCTAAGAACTAACAATGTAATGTAATGTAATAATAGAATGGTTGAAGTATTATTTTTAAATATGGAGGGGAAGCCTGTTTTTACTTATGTTTATTCAACAACACAGACAAGAAAAACAAGTAGTATCCAGATTAGGAAGAGATAGAATGACAGCATTACATTAGACAATATAATTATCTACACTGTATGCCCAACAGAATATTACTAGCAGCTACTGAACTAATTAAAGAGTTGAAGGTAGGAGTTATAACAGGACCCTAAACATTCAAACAGGACCCTAAACATTCATACGGTGAGACCAAAAGTTTCTCAACCTATTCCTAAGTACAGATGACTAAGCTATATATCAGACTAAAAGACAACCAAGGAATCAATTCTATCTAATACCTTGAAAATGAAAACCCAGGTATGCCAGATGCTGGTGGCAAACGCCTCTAATTCTAATCTGTGAGACTCTTATTTCCAAATAACCATCAAAAAAGCCAGAAGTGGAGCTGTGGCTCAAGTGGTAGAGCACTAGCTTTGAGCCAAAAAGCCAATGATAAAGCCCAGGTCCAGAGTTCAAGCCCCAGGACTCATACCAAAACCAAAACCAAAAAAACCCAAATATGCACTCACCAAACTCAAATCCCAGTGGGGGCCAGGTGTTAAAAATGTGAAGGAACTACCTCTCCGAAGTGGGTATCTGTTAATATAAAATTAAAGTAATAAATACACAGAGTAACTTCAGTATAATAAAGCAATATACAGATAAAAAATGATCTTTTCCATAGTTTAAAAACCAGGTAAAGTAGCCAGATTATAGTAATTAAGTCTCCTCAGGAAGTGGGATAATACATGAAATAAAGCAAAGCATAGGTTTGGCCATTTTCAGAACCTTTACAATGAGAATCTATATAGAATTAATGAACAGATTACTTGAAAAAGCAATTCACCAAACTAAACAAAATTTATCTTAGGAACATGTAAACAGATGAGTAAAATGAAATCTATTAGTGTAACAGTCTGCATTAATAGGTTAGATAAAAAACAGCAAGTAAACTTTTAAGGTAAAAAAATTTGATAAAATTTAATATTCATTAAAAAATGGATGTTCTTAAAATCGAGTATGTTATTTGCATCCATGTTGTAATCCCTTCTTTTATTTATTTATTTATTTGGTCAGTCATGGGGCTTGAACTCTGTCCCTCAGCTCTTCAGCTCAAGGCAAGCACTCTACCACTTAAGCCACAGCACCACTTCTGGTTTTCTGGTGGTTTATTGGAGATAAGAGACTCACAGACTTTCCTGCCCCGGCTGGGTTTGAACCACGATCCTCAGATCTCAGCCTCCTGAGTAGCTAGGATTACAGGCATGAGCCACCAGCGCCCGGCTTTTCTGACTGTTAAATATTATAACTTAATAAAATAAAAATCTTTGAATAATACACTGAGACAAACGTCTCAAGTAAGATTAGAATTTGACTGGAGTTTTGTTGTTTGAGGATTTTTCCTTTTGTATTTTCTTTACATTCAACATAAAGAAAAAAAGAAGAAAATCTTATGACAAAAATGAAACCTAAACACAAATCAAAACCTAAACACAAACTTAAACACATATTTTATGTGTTTCCATATTTACAAAACATGTAGAATGTCACAGCACACAGGCTAATATGGGAGAAAATTCAAAACTATACTTATTGTTAACCACTTATGAGGTAAAGACATGCAGAACAGAAGTAGAAGAACAGATATTTTTCTCTGTGGAAATAAATGATGAATCACCAAATGAGAAAGGCAAGGACTATTCAAGCTTACAAAACTGTATACCTTTCTATCATTTCTGGTTTTTCTTGTTTTTTTTTTTAAAATCATGTTTATTCTATGGAAATTTAACATTGCATTTCTGGTTCTTAATATTCAATAAATTCTCTTATGTATCACTTAATTATCCCATACCTCAAAATAACTTTTCACATCATCAATAGTGAGAATGACCTTAGTAGCAAGGGAGTTAGCCATCATCCCCAGCACTCAGGCCAAGATTCAAGACAGGTAGAGGAATGTGAAACTCTATAGTAGATGGAACTGCAGGCTCAGTCATGACGCGACTGGAGGGTGACCTAGGGGAGCTGCCAGTGAGCTGGCTAAGAGCAGGGATGGGGTGGCAGGCTGTTGGACTGGACAAGGTGCATATCTGACTTTCTCTGCTCGGTTCTAAGAAGGAAGCACAGCAAAATTCACAAGTTGGCAGTTATCAATAAAGTCCTGGCTACTTCAGGCCAATTGTTATTTAGTTCCCTGGGCCAGGCCACAGACCATTTGTAAATCTGGACTCCCATTTTGGCCCTCATAATCTTTGCTCACCATCTGTTTACCAAAAACCACAAGCAAATGGCATTCTTCAAAAATCTAAAAGTGTACACCAAATGTTAGAGCTTCAGTACTTTTCTAAGTATGAAACAAATTATAAACAAGGAACATAAACCTCAAGTAGTTTCTTGTGTCTGGGTACCCCTTCCCCCCCCCCCCAAAAAAAAAAAAAGCAAGCAAGCAAGCACTAGGCCATGAGGAAGATCTCATGAACTCCAATTGGAAAGTGTGGACCTGATCTTCACTTCTAAATAGGATGGAAGAAGGCAAACTTGTCAGAAGACCAATTAGGAGCCGGCTCCAATACCGATTAGCAAGGTGAATGAGCATACAGAAGCACACTTCTCCAATGGTTAGAGAGCAGGTGTCTAATGACAGAGGGTTCAATGCAAAACTGGCAGGACAGACTGCCTTTTCTTCCCTATCTATACCCATCCAGTTCCCACCAAAGTTCCTGATTCAGGAAAATAAATCCCTACAAACAGAAATCAGAGGTAAATACAGAAAGATCTCAAGATATTCATTTCCCAAAGATCAAAAACACAATAAGCACTATATATGATGTTGGTATATGTGGAGGGGAAGGGAAAAAACAAATTGTTAAAACAGGGATACAGGAGGACCCATTGCAACAATGAGATGTACAAGTCATTATGTAGAAAAACGAACTTTACAACTTTGGGGGAGGGGTTGGGCGGGGAGGGGGGGAGGATACGAAGGGATGGGAATGGGAAACAAAGCAGGAGGCTACAATGCTTGACAAGAAATGGGCTCATTATCCTGCCCATGCAATTGTAACCCCTCTGTACAGTATGTTCACAAATAAAATAAAATTATAAAAAAAATGAAACTTTAAAAAAAAAGTAAACAAACAGGGAAAGTATTTCCAACTGCATGGTAACTAACTGAACTAACTGCAATCAGCTGTACAGTAATGCTATTTTCCCCCATTTCAATAACAAGTGTCTATTTATTCTGAAAACCATGGAAAAAGGAACTAACTTGTGCCCAGAAATCAAGAGTGATAGTACTGACTGCCAAAAAAATTGTGGAAAGGCACACACTTTTTAATTTTTTTTAAAATAGGGATCAGATTAAAAATATAAAAGCTATTTTAAATCCGGTGGGAAAAGTTTTGATTTCATGAGACATTATGATTACAAGTGCCTTTTCCAGAAGACACACTGGGCAGCTTCCAAACAGAGGTTAAGGTGGGCAAGACAGAAATGTAGAGGCAAGGGGACAGGCCTCATCTAGTCATGAATTTGTCAAGCTGGGAATATAGTGGTAGAGGGGCTGACTCATATGAGCAAGAGCTAGTATTTGATCCCCAGGACCACAATAATGAATGTAATGGTAGTAATTATTTTTCTGTCCATTTGTCTGAATATTCTGTGTCCATATATCCATTTATTAACATTAAATCACAGCATAAAATAAACCAACACAGTATAAATCTTGTGCAGCTGTGTAGTTTATAGTTTTTGTTTAACTCAACTGTGATTTCTCTCTGGCTTCTTAATATACCTCCTTATTACTTAATGTGATTCCAAACTATGTGTTTTACACTAAATTAGCTTTAGTATTAGTAAAAATGTAATTTGAATGGTAAAGCTCCTGTTTAAAACCAGTCATCTTGTTAATTCTTGTTTTAAATTTTGTTAAAAAAAAAAAAGATAGGGTTTCCGTTAGATAGTCCTGGAATTTGCTATGTGGCTTCGAACAGGGGATTCTCTTCCTGCCCCAGCCTCCCTAATGCTGCTTCTCTGTTTAGAACATTGTTTCCTCCAAAAGGCTTGGTGCCTTTTGTCCTTCAGAGCTCTGCTCCAGTTTCACTGTCAAGAGACTTTCCTTACCATCATCTCTATTCCTCTCGCTACAACCTTAATTCACTTCATAATGTGACTCCTAACATTTTATGTTTGATTATTGTCCTTTTCCCTAACAAAATTTGTCCCATAAGAGCAAAGTCTTTTATTTTTGTTTACTAGAATTCCCACTATTAGCTGGGTGCTGGTGGCTCATGCCTGTGATCCTGGAAATATACAATAGCATTGCCTATTAGAAGGCAGAGATCTGAAGTTCAAGGTTTAGAGTCAGAATGGGCAGAAAAGCTCATGAGACTCTCATCTCCAATTAATCACCAAAAAGCTGGAAATGGAGCTGTTGTTGCTCAAGTGGTGAAGTGCCACCCTTGCGGACAGAAAGCCAAGAGTGCGTGAGAGGCAGGCCCCGAATTCAAGCACCACGAAGAATTCCTGCCACTGGCCCGAGGGTAGGCGCTCAGCAGTGTTATCCAAAGCGTGTAGAAGGAAATTCACACTCCCTCCATTTGAAACTCTCCTGGCCCCATCGCTAGTCTGTCTGTGTCTTCCAGGTTCTCAGTCTTAGAGATGACTTCTTTCTCTCTGAGCTTTCCCTAGCTCGTAAATACAGGCTGTAACTAGTACAGAAAAGGTTTCGGGAGGAAAGAGTCAAGCAAGTATTACCTTAAAACCTCAAACCAATAATAAACGCCCCCAGCAAGGAAGGAGTGGGGAAGCCCGGCTCTGCCAATGGGGGTCGTAAACACCTTGCTGAGGGAAGTGAGGCGTCTTCCCCGTGTTTCCCCGAAGTGGCCATCCTGGCAGGTCCTGGCAGGACGGGAGTGAGCGCAGGGCACCGGAACCGTTCACCGTGGAGCCGCCGGGGGGCGGGCGGAGGGCTGGGTGCGCTCCAGGGGGCTCCCGTCCGCCCGCCTTCTCCACGCCCTTCCCACGTCCGCGCGCG